ATTTTTATTTTTTTTATTTATTTATTTTTTATTAAAAATAAAAACTGAGAAAAAATAGAGCTTTTAATCCCACTGTCTTCATAGTATTTTATCATCATATTATAATTAGGTATAAAGCAATGTTTTCTATTTTTATTATGTACTTTCTAAAACGAAAACCCTGGCAATTTATTGAAAACAATTTCCAAGTCTTTCTTTCTTTCTTTCTTTCTTCCTTTTTTGTTGTTCTTAAAAGAAATGCTTATTCATTCGTTTGTTCGTTCGTTCGTTCATTCAGCTACTGGCATTTTCAAAGGTATGGTGATCATAGACCTTTGAACCAGTGGATGTCTTATTTTTATGTTATTTAATGTTATTATGTTATGCTATCATATTCATAATATTACAATTAATTGAATCTAGAGTGCATTTTAAATAATTTTGCAACTTTGGTTTCAGCAGTTCTTGTCATGTGTATTCTAAAAGGAAATACCTGACAATTTATTTATAAATATTCGAAGTGTTTCATTATTATTATTATTTTATTTTTATTTTTTCCTGTTCCTAAAATAAATGTTTATTTATTTATTTATTTATTTATTTATTTATTTATCCTAATAGAACTTATTAAATCATGGAAATTGTTGAAATGACAATTAAAGTTTTTCCTTTCCCTGCGTTTCATCTTATTTGTCTTTTATAGTATCCCTTTAAATGGATAGTTCACCATCAAAAATGAAAATCCTGTCATCATTTACTCACCCTCATGTTGTTCCAAACCTGCATGCATTTCTTTCTTCTGTTGAACACAAACAAGATATTCTGAAGAAAGTTGGTAACCAAACAGTTTCTGGTAGCCATTAACTTCCATGGAATCTTCTTTTCCCCATACTACGCAAGTCAATGGCTACCAGCAACAAATAATTAGATAAGGATTTAATACATTTTCTGATATTAGTTGGTTTGTCTCATTCTAAACATTTAATCTCACAAGCATAGTCATGTCACAGCATTCAAATGATACTGCAGAAAAGAAATGAGCCTGCTATAAACAAGCATTTAAGTGCTTGTTGTTCATTAGTAGTATAGTACTTACATAGTAATTACAGTGTAACATGAATACTGCAATGTAAAGTGACTCTAGAGGATTTTCTTGACAATGTCAGCAGGGCAAACGCTAATACGGCATTTACTGTACAGATCTGTGCTTGAGTGTCCTCTCAAGTGCAGGGTGGCATGTGAAACAAATATTTGCATGGGTAGAGTGGCTTTTCTTTTATGCACAACTCAACAGCTACGGTGACAGTGTGGAGCTGAAAAAGTCTTGGTATTTGAAAAACAGCTCTTATAACACAATGTGCTGAGTTAACTTCATTTCATAAAGACTCGATTAAATTATGGTCTTCGTAATTGCCTCTGGTGTTCACACTTTGCATGAAACGTTTAGCAGTGATAACATCGGCCGTGTGCCACCTGAGGCTAGCGCGATATTATTACACAAATGATCCATCTGTAAGATGCCCTAAAATACCTATTTCATATCTATTAGTATCTTTCATATATGCCTTAACTAAAAATGAGATGTAATATTGTGACTTAGCTTGACTTCACCCAGTCTATCTAAATGACATTTAAATTGCCTAACAGAAAGAAGAAAAAAAAAGTAATTATAATAGGACACCATTAAGCTGCATCAACATAAAACACTATTAGAGTGAAGAACACATACGACTAAAATGAAACACAATAAGCAAGAGCTAAATTACATAAATCAACGTAAAGCACACAACAAAAAAAAACATAAATAAAATAAAATCATAATAATAAATAATTTGAACAGAAATAAAAACTAAATAAACCTAAAATCCAGATATAAAACCAAAAGTCCATACATGGCAAATCACACAAAGACTCCTGGGAATGCCACCTTCTCTATTCATGCATTGTAAAGAGTGGTAACCTGTTCATGCTACCTTAAGGAGCTATTTCTACCTAGTTTAACCTATAAAACTAGTTTTGCTGGTATATATTAATTTTAATAGGTTGGTTCAGAGATGTTAAATAATTTTATTTATTTATTTATTTATTTATTTATCCTAATAGAACTTATTAAATCATGGAAATTGTTGAAATGACAATTAAAGTTTTTCCTTTCCCTGCGTTTCATCTTATTTGTCTTTTATAGTATCCCTTTAAATGGATAGTTCACCATCAAAAATGAAAATCCTGTCATCATTTACTCACCCTCATGTTGTTCCAAACCTGCATGCATTTCTTTCTTCTGTTGAACACAAACAAGATATTCTGAAGAAAGTTGGTAACCAAACAGTTGCTGGTAGCCATTAACTTCCATGGAATCTTCTTTTCCCCATACTACGCAAGTCAATGGCTACCAGCAACAAATAATTAGATAAGGATTTAATACATTTTCTGATATTAGTTGGTTTGTCTCATTCTAAACATTTAATCTCACAAGCATAGTCATGTCACAGCATTCAAATGATACTGCAGAAAAGAAATGAGCCTGCTATAAACAAGCATTTAAGTGCTTGTTGTTCATTAGTAGTATAGTACTTACATAGTAATTACAGTGTAACATGAATACTGCAATGTAAAGTGACTCTAGAGGATTTTCTTGACAATGTCAGCAGGGCAAACGCTAATACGGCATTTACTGCACAGATCTGTGCTTGAGTGTCCTCTCAAGTGCAGGGTGGCATGTGAAACAAATATTTGCATGGGTAGAGTGGCTTTTCTTTTATGCACAACTCAACAGCTACGGTGACAGTGTGGAGCTGAAAAAGTCTTGGCATTTGAAAAACAGCTCTTATAACACAATGTGCTGAGTTAACTTCATTTCATAAAGACTCGATTAAATGATGGTCTTCGTAATTGCCTCTGGTGTTCACACTTTGCATGAAACGTTTAGCAGTGATAACATCGGCCGTGTGCCACCTGAGGCTAGCGCGATATTATTACACAAATGATCCATCTGTAAGATGCCCTAAAATACCTATTTAATATCTATTAGTATCTTTCATATATGCCTTAACTAAAAATGAGATGTAATATTGTGACTTAGCTTGACTTCACCCAGTCTATCTAAATGACATTTAAATTGCCTAACAGAAAGAAGAAAAAAAAAGTAATTATAATAGGACACCATTAAGCTGCATCAACATAAAACACTATTAGAGTGAAGAACACATACGACTAAAATGAAACACAATAAGCAAGAGCTAAATTACATAAATCAACGTAAAGCACACAACAAAAAAAAACATAAATAAAATAAAATCATAATAATAAATAATTTGAACAGAAATAAAAACTAAATAAACCTAAAATCCAGATATAAAACCAAAAGTCCATACATGGCAAATCACACAAAGACTCCTGGGAATGCCACCTTCTCTATTCATGCATTGTAAAGAGTGGTAACCTGTTCATGCTACCTTAAGGAGCTATTTCTACCTAGTTTAACCTATAAAACTAGTTTTGCTGGTATATATTCATTTTAATAGGTTGGTTCAGAGATGTTAAATAATGTTTTTGACTTGAATAAAGCCAGTTTATTTAGATGTTACAATTTTAGGTTACCATTTGTTATCAGTGTATTATATACAGAATAAAAATAGACAGCAATTGACTGACATATTATTAAAATGCCTATTAACTATGACTAAATTAATGTAAGTAATCTGCTCAACAACTAAAATATTACTTTCAGGCATACAATAATTATTTTTATTTTTTTTTGCCTTATTTCTGCCACGGGATGGATGGATGGACGGATGAACAGATAGATAGATAGATAGATAGATAGATAGATATTGACTGACATATGATTAAAATGCCTATTAACTATGACTAAATTAATGTAAGTAATCTGCTCAACAACTAAAATATTACTTTCAGGCATACAATAATTATTTTTATTTTTTTTTGCCTTATTTCTGCCACGGGATGGATGGATGGACGGATGAACAGATAGATAGATAGATAGATAGATAGATAGATAGATAGATAGATAGATAGATAGATAGATAGATAGATAGATAGATAGATAGATAGATAGATAGATAGATAGATAGATAGATAGATAGATAGATAGATAGATAGATAGATAGATAGATAGGTAGATAGATAGATAGATAGA